ATGTAACCCTCCATCCCTTCCATGTCTCAAAATATGATAAAACGATGCCAAAGGACTCTTTGTTTAAAAAGCATTTAATCGTTTTCATCCACTTTTTATTGACAGGCAAAACATATTTACACTCTTTTTTCTGATGACCGAAAAAATCCAGCTTCTTCAAATGTTCCATTGATGACGTTCAGATTTATTTTTTTGTGGTGAGTCCTACGTCATTGTAAAAAGAAGTTTCAAGCTATTCTTTTCAGATTATTCCCTCAACAGATTCTCCATTAGATTCATGTCAGGACTTTGTTTAGGCCATTCCAAGACACTGCTATTACTTCCAGTCGGAGGAAATATCTTTTTGTAAAATGAAAACATTCCTTCAACCTAATTTTGCCAGAGGTGTGGATTTCTTCTGGCTTGGTGTATCTATTTTCCTCTTTGTGTAACTCTATGGCTGTGAGAAAGTCAGAGTTATTCAGCAAAAGCAGATAGTTACCCATCATCACTCCATGCTGTAGTTAAATAGAGGAACAAAAAAAACTGTTACTGTGTTGTTTTATATTTGACACTGGTTTTGTAAAGTATTCTAATCTTTTGAGGCTTTAAGGTTGATTAAAAAAAAACATTTTTTACTGTTTAATAATATTTTTTTTACAAAACAGATAGAGAGATATAAAGTTTTTTTTTTATAAAAGAGGACCTTCAACTGCAGCCAATTGTGAAATAATAATAATAATAAAAAAGAAAGTATTGTGTACATTAGAAAATATAGTACGTTTTACATAACATAAGATATCTATTCATCTTATTTGTGAAAAGATATACAGTCCCTATATAACATAAAGAAACTGCCAAATTTGTAAAAGCTAAGAAAAGACTATGTTTCATAAGAAAATGACTAGTGTTGTGTTTTTCCCAGCAGGTGTTTCTTTGTGTTCAGCTTAGGCCTCAGGACAAGGATAAAACATTTTGGTGCAAATATACAAAACAGTATCCCATAACTTGACGCTAGAATAGCAAATATCTCCACAGCTACCGTGAGATTTCCAGGAGAGCTGACATAAGCTGGGATGAAGGTGATCCAGACGGCACAGAAAATTAACATACTGAAGGTGATGTGTTTGGCTTCATTGAAGGTATCTGGCAGCTTCCTGGCTAAGAAAGCAAGGACAAAACATAGCAAGGCCAGGAGTCCAACGTATCCCAACACAGCCCAAAAGCCAACAGGTGATCCCAGAGCGCATTCAAGGATGATTTTCTCCTTATAGTAATTCATATTTTTGTAAGGAAAGGGGGGATTTATTGTTAACCAGAGGATGCAAATTATGACCTGTATAAACGTGAAAAACAAAACAGTGAGTCTCTGCTGTGCAGGCCCAAACCATTTCATCACATTGCTGCCTGGAAGTGTGGCTTTAAAGGCCATTAGAACCACGATAGTTTTCCCAAGAATACAAGAGATGCAGAGGACGAAGGTGATGCCGAACGCTGTGTGCCGCAGCATGCAGGACCACTCAGTGGGCTGGCCAATAAAGGTTAGAGAACACAAAAAACACAGAGACAAGGAGAACAGCAACAGGAAGCTGAGCTCAGAGTTGTTTGCTTTCACCAGTGGAGTGTCCTTGTTGACTAAAAACAGTGTCGCTACTATTAAAGTTAGCACAACACCGAACAAAGTGAAAAATATCAGTATCTTGCCCATAACTTCAGTAAAAGAGAGAAACTCAATTTCTTTTGGTAAACATGCATCTCTGTTTTGATTGGACCAAAATGCTTCAGGGCATTTTTTGCAGCCAATAGAATCTGTAATAAAAATAATGGGGTTTTTTTTGTTATTGCAGTTCAATAAGTCGCACTCTAACAATATTTACAAATGACTGTATCATTGCTAGTTTCAACATAATACACACACTGTGGCAGGCAATTTGTGTGCACATTTTACTGCAATTTGTGTCTGTTGTACCTGTCGTGTTGCTAAATTCTCCAACTGGACACGGCACACAGTCAAAGCAGCAAACGGGTTTTCCTTTTGAAGGACTTTATGGGTTCCTGGTCGACAGCTTTCACTGCAAACTGACACAGGTGGCTGTAATAATAAAAACATGATTAAAGAAAAGGACTTTGTGAAATATCTTTACAGGTGTAATGAGATTTTTTTGTCAGGAAAAATCATTACCTCTTTTGTCCCCCCTGGCCACATAATGGCGTCTGTGTTAAGAATAAACCTCTTGCCAGACGGTAGTGAAGCATCATAGTAGCCAACAGGTCTGAACTGAACAGATCCATCTGTTCCACGTTGCCAGTTCACCACCTCATACCTGGCAACGGCAGCTCCAGTTTGATCAAACCGCACTCTGTCCCCATTCTTGACAGTAAAGTTCACGTTCTTTAGAGCCTCTACTACCTAAAGAGCAATCAATAAAACTTATTTCAACATTATAGTTTTACACCAAGAGTCCAAACAATACAGGAATAATGATTTATTCTTATACCTCCCATGGCTTAATTTCCATTGTTTTTCTACATCCTTGTCCCTCTGAACATTTCATGATGCTGTGCAGAGAATGTGATATGGCATAGACGGCTTTATAGATGTTAGTGGAGTACCTTAGCTCTTCCACATCATCATCCTTATCGCTGAGCTCCATTAAATCCTGACTGGCTCTGCAAGGGTTTTGACTGGTCTCCATGTTTGCCTCATTGCACAGGAATTCAGTTTTCCAGAAATCTCTAACTAGAAAATCCTCCAGGCCACTGATATTGGCCTTTTGCACTGCAAAGCCGAGTGCACCTCCCAGCACACTAAAGCTGGTGGGAGTCACAAGGCTGTCCGCAGTGATCCAGGCCTCCACGCCGATGAACTGCCGTCCCGTGATGTTGTGGAGACTCAACTGCTCTAGCAGGTTATTCATTTCCATATGGGCAAGAAAGCCAACAATCACTCGAGCTGTGCTCTTTCTGATCACTTCTACCACCTTCAGTAGTTTCTCTGGCTCTGCTCTGTCAAATTTCTCTGTGTACTCCACACAAACTCCTTCCTCTTGGGCCGCAGAAAGGAAGATGGCCATCCCATTGTTGCCGTAATCACTGTCACTGTTGACTGCTCCGACCCAGGTCCAGCCAAAGTGTTTGACAAGCTGTGCAAGGGCACGGCTTTGATGAATATCACTTGCAATGGTTCGAAAAAAAGAGGGATACTCCTTCCTACTGCTCAAACACTCGCATGTGGCAGAATGACTTATCTGTTGACAGACAAACAGAACAGTAAACTGCACAATAAAGAGCAAAACAACATAAAAACTGATTGAGATCACTCTTACCATTGGAATTTGAAATGGTCCAGTAGTGCGAGAAAGGACAATGGTTGAAGAAGATTCAGACTCTCCAATAATTGCATGAACTGCCGACTGACCAGAGCAGCTATTTCCCAAAGTCAGCTCATGGCCGTTCATCAGAGCCATCGCTGCACGCATCGAGGATAATGTCGACCCACAGTTGTCATAAATTCTGTATCCAATTGATATATTCCCAAGAATATCCTCATTTTTATTAATTTCTTGAATCGAAAATATCATTGTCTGAGCAAAGCGAAACCCCCTTAGGTCAACACTGAGAATAGAAATCACAATGCAAAACTCTGTTCACAAAGACAAAATGTTGATGCAATATTTTATACACAGTTCAGAATTACCTAGTGCACTCCAGTGTTGTTGGTCTTTCTGTAAAGGAAAGTGAAGGTTGTGTGATTTTGCTGTGGATTGAAAAAACACCTCCAATCGTCACATCTCCATCTTGAGACAGAAGAGGAAATTCTGGATGTCCCCGTATCTGGCAGAGAGAATCAGGCTCCCAGATGGCATTGGATGCAAACAGGAGGCTGATAAAAATAAAGACTCCTAATACGGAGGACATGTTTATCTTGGTGTTTCCTTTCTGGGAAGAGTCTCATAAGTCAATATGGTTGCTTATTAAAGTAGCTGGTGACAAGACTATATTTTCATCATCCAATCAAAAAAAAAAAAAAGTGGGACGGCTGTGACTGGAGCTCGTCATTGTGTTGTCTGAGAATATTGTTCTTTGATAGATAGTGCATAGAAATTTGGTCATTTCTATAATACGCTATCATATAAGACAGTGTTGAATGAAATGAATGCAACTGAAGCAATGTTTAAGTTTTTCATTTATTGTCTTAATGTACACTTTCTGATAAATTAATTCTCACACAGAAAGTGTTAACAATCAACTTTAGTGAATCACTGAGATCCTTCTGCATCCATAAAACAAACCAGATGTGATGCATGCTTCAAAGTGTCGATGCGGTGATTCTTCGGGAACAAAAGCTCTGCAGGCCAAACTTCAGGTGAACAGTTAAGATTTTATTTCAAACTTCAACCAAACTCAGCGCCACCGAATCTTGAGGAAATCTTGTCCCAATCGTAGAAGATTACATGACGACCTCTGGAAGCCCCTCTTTTTTAGGGAACTTGATAACAGGACACAACACCATATCTGGTTCCCCCCCACACAACATATGCATTGTACAGAATTATTACTACATGCATGCTTTCCACCTCAGTTCCTCTTAGTACCTGGTGCCACCTATCACCTATTTATGCGCTGGAATCCATTTGTTTAGACTCAGTGTCTCCAGATTATCGCCCAAGCGCACCCCAAAGTCCTATTGTGTGGTCAGACACTACGCAGATTTCCCACCTCAAGAGCGCAAAGCATAATAGACTATTTACAATATAAATCTCTACCACTGGGGTAATAATCAAAAAACCTGTTTTCAAATAATCACAGAAATGCATTATGACATTATGTTCACTTCAGTGTATCTTAAGGTTTTTATTTATCTTCAAAGATCGTTGTACCTGTGAATATATGCTACATTTTTACATGAAAATTGGTCATATTGTTTACATTTTGTAAATAAATATACAAGTTTTAAGACATAATTGAATAAAGTGGAGTTTTTTTAAGCTAAGGAAAGACTATGTTTCATAAGAAAATGACTAGTGTTGTGTTTTTCCCAGCAGGTGTTTCTTTGTGTTCAGCTCAGGCCTCAGGACAAGGATAAAACATTTTGGTGCAAATATACAAAACAGTATCCCATAACTTGACGCTAGAATAGCAAATATCTCCACAGCTACCGTGAGATTTCCAGGAGAGCTGACATAAGCTGGGATGAAGGTGATCCAGACGGCACAGAAAATTAACATACTGAAGGTGATGTGTTTGGCCTCATTGAAGGTATCTGGCAGCTTCCTGGCTAAGAAAGCAAGGACAAAACATAGCAAGGCCAAGAGTCCAACGTATCCCAACACAGCCCAAAAGCCAACAGGTGATCCCAGAGCGCATTCAAGGATGATTTTCTCCAAATAGTACTTGAAGTTTTTTAAAGGAAAGGGGGGATTTATTGTTAACCAGAGGATGCAAATTATGACCTGTACAAACGTGAAAAACAAAACAGTGAGTCTCTGCTGTGCAGGCCCAAACCATTTCATCACATTGCTGCCTGGAAGTGTGGCTTTAAAGGCCATTAGAACCACGATAGTTTTCCCAAGAATACAAGAGATGCAGAGGACGAAGGTGATGCCGAACGCTGTGTGCCGCAGCATGCAGGACCACTCAGTGGGCTGGCCAATAAAGGTTAGAGAACACAAGAAACACAGAGACAAGGAGAACAGCAACAGGAAGCTGAGCTCAGAGTTGTTTGCTTTCACCAGTGGAGTGTCCTTGTTGACTAAAAACAGTGTCGCTACTATTAAAGTTAGCACAACACCGAACAAAGTGAAAAATATCAGTATCTTGCCCATAACTTCAGTAAAAGAGAGAAACTCAATTTCTTTTGGTAAACATGCATCTCTGTTTTGATTGGACCAAAATGCTTCAGGGCATTTTTTGCAGCCAATAGAATCTGTAATAAAAATAATGGTTTTTATTTTGTTATTGCAGTTCAATAAGTCGCACTCTAACAATATTTACAAATGACTGTATCATTGCTAGTTTCAACATAATACACACACTGTGGCAGGCAATTTGTGTGCACATTTTACTGCAATTTGTGTCTGTTGTACCTGTCGTGTTGCTAAATTCTCCAACTGGACACGGCACACAGTCAAAGCAGCAAACGGGTTTTCCTTTTTGAAGGACTTTATGGGTTCCTGGTCGACAGCTTTCACTGCAAACTGACACAGGTGGCTGTAATAATAAAAACATGATTAAAGAAAAGGACTTTGTGAAATATCTTTACAGGTGTAATGAGATTTTTTTGTCAGGAAAAATCACTACCTCTTTTGTCCCCCTGGCCATAATGGCGTCTGTGTTAAGAATAAACCTCTTGCCAGACGGTAGTGAAGCATCATAGTAGCCAACAGGTCTGAACTGAACAGATCCATCTGTTCCACGTTGCCAGTTCACCACCTCATACCTGGCAACGGCAGCTCCAGTTTGATCAAACCGCACTCTGTCCCCATTCTTGACAGTAAAGTTCACGTTCTTTAGAGCCTCTACTACCTAAAGAGCAATCGATAAAACTTATTTCAACATTATAGTTTTAAACCTAGAATACAAAATATACAAGAGTAATGGTTTATTCTTATACCTCCCATGGCTTAATTTCTACCATTTTTTGACATCCTTGTCCCTCTGAACACTTCAAGACTGTGTGCAGAGAATGTGATATGGCATAGACGGCTTTATAGATGTTAGTGGAGTACCTTAGCTCTTCCACATCATCATCCTTATCGCTGAGCTCCATTAAATCCTGACTGGCTTTGCAAGGGTTTTGACTGGTCTCCATGTTTGCCTCATTGCACAGGAATTGAGTTTTCCAGAAATCTCTAACTAGAAAATCCTCCAGGCCACTGATATTGGCCTTTTGCACTGCAAAGCCGAGTGCACCTCCCAGCACACTAAAGCTGGTGGGAGTCACAAGGCTGTCCGCAGTGATCCAGGCCTCCACGCCAATGAACTGCCGTCCCGTGATGTTGTGGAGACTCAACTGCTCTAGCAGGTTATTCATTTCCACATGAGCAAGAAAGCCAACAATTACTCGAGCTGTGCTCTTTCTGATCACTTCTACCACCTTCAGTAGTTTCTCTGGCTCTGCTCTGTCAAATTTCTCTGTGTACTCCACACAAACTCCTTCCTCTTGGGCCGCAGAAAGGAAGATGGCCATCCCATTGTTGCCGTAATCACTGTCACTGTTGACTGCTCCGACCCAGGTCCAGCCAAAGTGTTTGACAAGCTGTGCAAGAGCACGGCTTTGATAAAGATCACTTGCAATGGTTCGAAAAAAAGAGGGATACTCCTTCCTACTGCTCAAACACTCGCATGTGGCAGAATGACTTATCTGTTGAAAGACAAACAGAACAGAAAACTGCACAATAAAGAGCAAAACGACAGAAAAACTCATTGGGATCACTCTTACCACTGGAATTTGAAATGGTCCAGTAGTGCGAGAAAGGACAATGGTTGAAGAAGATTCAGACTCTCCAATAATTGCATGAACCGCCGACTGACCAGAGCAGCTATTTCCCAAAGTCAGCTCATGGCCGTTCATCAGAGCCATCGCTGCACGCATCGAGGATAATGTCGACCCACAGTTGTCATAAATTCTGTATCCAATTGATATATTCCCAAGAATATCCTCATTTTTATTAATTTCCTGAATAGCAAAAATCATTGTCTGAGCAAAGCGAAACTCCCTTAGGTTAATACTGAGAATAGAAATCACAATGCAAAACTCTGTTCACAAAGACAAAAAGTTGATGCAATATTTTATACACAGTTCAGAATTACCCAGTGCACTCCAGTGTTGTTGGTCTTTCTGTAAAGGAAAGTGAAGGTTGTGTGATTTTGCTGTGGATTGAAAAAACACCTCCAATCGTCACATCTCCATCTTGAGACAGAAGAGGAAATTCTGGATGTCCCCGTATCTGGCAGAGAGAATCAGGCTCCCAGGTGGCATTGGATGCAAACAGGAGGCTGATAAAAATAAAGACTCCTAATACGGAGGACATGTTTATCTTGGTGTTTCCTTTCTGGGAAGAGTCTCATAAGTCAATATGGTTGCTTATTAAAGTAGCTGGTGACAAGACTATATTTTCATCATCCAATCAAAAGAAAATGTGGGACGGCTGTGACTGGAGCTCGTCATTGTGTGGTCTGAGAATATTGTGCTTTGATAGATAGTGCATAGAAATTTGGTCGTTTCTAAAATAGGCTATCATATAAGACAGTGTTGAATGAAATGAATGCAACTGAAGCAATGTTTTAGTTTTTATATAATTATTTTAATGTACATTTTCTGATGAAATAACAGGACACAACACCCTATCTGGTTCCCCCCCTCTCAACATATGGATCGTACAGAATTATTATTACATGCATGCTTTCCACCTCAGTTCCTCTGCAGTACCTGGTACCCAGTATCACCTTATGCACTGGAATCCATTTTAGGCAGACACAGTTTGTCCAGAATATCTCCCAAGCCCTCCCCAAAGTCCTATTGTGTGGGACTTTGGTGTGTCCCACACAATAGGTATTATGCAGTTTTCCCACCTCCAGATATATAATATGAATCTCTGTCACTGGGGTAATAATCAAAAAACCTGTTTTCAAATAATCACAGAAATGCATTATGACATTATGTTCACTTCAGTGTATCTTAAGGTTTTTATTTATCTTCAAAGATCGTTGTACCTGTGAAAATATGTTACATTTTTATATGAAAATTGGTCATATTGTTTACGTTTTGTGAATAAATATACAAGTTTTAAGACATAATTGAATAAAGTGGAGTTTTTTTTTAAGCTAAGAAAAGACTATGTTTCATAAGAAAATGACTAGTGTTGTGTTTTTCCCAGCAGGTGTTTCTTTGTGTTCAGCTCAGGCCTCAGGACAAGGATAAAACATTTTGGTGCAAATATACAAAACAGTATCCCATAACTTGACGCTAGAATAGCAAATATCTCCACAGCTACCGTGAGATTTCCAGGAGAGCTGACATAAGCTGGGATGAAGGTGATCCAGACGGCACAGAAAATCAACATACTGAAGGTGATGTGTTTGGCCTCATTGAAGGTATCTGGCAGCTTCCTGGCTAAGAAAGCAAGGACAAAACATAGCAAGGCCAGGAGTCCAACGTATCCCAACACAGCCCAAAAGCCAACAGGTGATCCCAGAGCGCATTCGAGGATGATTTTCTCCTTATAGTAATTCATATTTTTGTAAGGAAAGGGGGGATTTATTGTTAACCAGAGGATGCAAATTATGACCTGTACAAACGTGAAAAACAAAACAGTGAGTCTCTGCTGTGCAGGCCCAAACCATTTCATCACATTGCTGCCTGGAAGTGTGGCTTTAAAGGCCATTAGAACCACGATAGTTTTCCCAAGAATACAAGAGATGCAGAGGACGAAGGTGATGCCGAACGCTGTGTGCCGCAGCATGCAGGACCACTCAGTGGGCTGGCCAATAAAGGTTAGAGAACACAAGAAACACAGAGACAAGGAGAACAGCAACAGGAAGCTGAGCTCAGAGTTGTTTGCTTTCACCAGTGGAGTGTCCTTGTTGACTAAAAACAGTGTTGCTAATATTAAAGTTAGCAGCAAACCAAACATAGTACAAACCACCAGTATCTTGCCCATAACCTCAGTGAAAGAAAGAAACTCAATGTTTTTGGCTAAACATGCATCTCTGTTCTGATTGGACCAAAATGCTTCAGGGCATTTTTTGCAGCCAATAGAATCTGTAACAAAAAGTGATATTATTACTCTACTTACATCAAATATACTCTAATAACATTCATAGCTGATTGTATAGCAGCTAATTTGAACATGACAAACACGCTTAAGCAGGTGAAGTGTGTACAAATGTTGGTGTGAATTAGGACTCTGGTACCTGTCGTGTTGCTAAATTCTCCAGCTGGACACGGGACACAGTCAAAGCAGCACACATGCTTTCCTTTTTGAAGGACTTTATGGGTTCCTGGTCGACAGCTTTCGCTGCAAACTGACACAGGTAGCTTTAAACAAACAAACAAAAAATGTTACTCACGATTAAACTTTGTTCAAATTTTCTAACATGTATTGTACATGTTAGGTCTTTACCTCTTTTCCTCCTCCAGACCATATAATGGCCTCTGTGTTAAGAGAAAACCCTTCGTCGGAGGGCAGGGAGGCATCGTAGTAACCAACGGGTTTAAACAGAACGGATCCGTCTGATCCACGCTGCCAGTTCACCAACTCATATTTGTTGACAGCTGCTCCAGTATTATCAAACCACACTCTTTCTCCATTCTTAATGGTGAAATTCACATGCTTTAGTGCCTCCACCACCTAAAATGCAGGAGACATCACTTTTTGTCAGAATTATTTTCTTTACATATATGTAAAGACACTCATTCCAGTCTCCAGTGTTTTTATTATTTTTATTTTTACCTCCCGTGGCTTGATCTCTGGTGCCTTATTACACCCTTTTTTGTCTGAACACTTCAATATGTTGTGGAGAGAATGAGCTACTGCATAGATGGCTTTGTAAATATTAGTGGGGTATCTCAACATCTCCAAATCATCATCATGACCTTCAAGCTGAAACAGATCTGGATAATCTTTGCAAGTTCTCGAAACACTTTCTCTGTTTGTCTCATTGCACAGGTATTGAGTTTTCCAGAAATCTCTAACTAGAAAATCCTCCAGGCCACTGATATTGGCCTTTTGCACTGCAAAGCCGAGTGCACCTCCCAGCACACTAAAGCTGGTGGGAGTCACAAGGCTGTCCGCAGTGATCCAGGCCTCCACGCCGATGAACTGCCGTCCCGTGATGTTGTGGAGACTCAACTGCTCTAGCAGGTTATTCATTTCCACATGGGAAAGAAAGCCAACAATTACTCGTGCTGTGCTCTTTTTAATGACTTCTATCACTTTCAGGAGTCTTTCTGGCTCTGCTCTGTCGAATTTCTCTGTGTACTCCACACAAACTCCTTCCTCTTGGGCCGCAGAAAGGAAGATGGCCATCCCATTGTTGCCATAGTCGTTGTCGCTGTTGACTGCTCCGACCCAGGTCCAGCCAAAGTGTTTAACCAGCTGTGCAAGGGCACGGCTTTGATAAAGATCACTGACAATGGTTCGAAAAAAAGAGGGATACTCCTTCCTACTGCTCAAACACTCGCACGTGGCAGAATGACTTATCTGTTGACAGACAAACAGAACAGAAAACTGCACAATAAAGAGCAAAACAACATAAAAACTGATTGGGATCACTCTTACCACTGGAATTTGAAATGGTCCAGTAGTGCGAGAAAGGACAATGGTTGAAGAAGATTCAGACTCTCCAATAATTGCATGAACCGCCGACTGACCAGAGCAGCTATTTCCCAAAGTCAGCTCATGGCCGTTCATCAGAGCCATCGCTGCACGCATCGAGGATAATGTTGACGCACAGTTGTCATAAATCCGATACCCGATAGAAATGTTGGGAAGGAGATCTTTTTTGTTGTTTATTTCCTCAATTGCAAATATCATTGACTGGGCAAATCGAAACTCCCTTAGGTTAATGCTGAAAGAAAAAGACCAAAGTACAACATTCTGTTTACTTAAGAGAAGAACATCATGCAACACACTGCTTAGAGCTCAAAATCACCTGCTGCATTCATAAGCTGTTGGTCTCTCTGTAAAGGAAAATGAAGGCTGCGTAATTTTGCTGTGGATGGAAAAGGCACCTCCGATCATCACGTCTCCTTCTTTAGACAGTACAGGAAACTCTGGACTTCCCCGTATCTGGCAGAGCGAAGCTGGCTCCCCCACTGTGACACATGCTTCTATTAGGCCTATCAGAGTAAGTACTGTTGCACCTGGTGACATTTTTATTTGGCTGGATACAGCGAGAGAAGAGTCACCCCACAAATGGGTTTTGTTCATGAATATAACCCACACTAGTGTAGCCTACCTTCATACTGACCAATCAGACATGTGGGACGGCCCTGATTGGAACTAACAGCATCTAAAAAATACAAACAAAAAAAAAAGCATATTGTGTTTTTAGGGATAACACAATTGAGATTTAGTTATTTATACAAAAAAAATAACACATTGCCAGGGAGGCAAGATAAATAGATAATTCAACATGAATTCAACCATCCTAATCTGGTCCCAGAACAGAGGTGTCCAAAAGCACTCTATTGTTTCTAACGTAATGCTTTTGCTATAACAATGTACCAACAATTGTGTTTCAGGAGATCTTGAGAGGAAATAAATGTACAACTTAAAGCATTGAATACCAATGTTTGAGCTACTGGATAGGCTATAAAGATCTATTACTATATTTGTCATGTGATTAGCCAAAATATTTGTCTCTGCAACACAGCCAGATCAAATTATTATGTTGCTAATTTTTCCTTGTATGGTTGCATGTTTTCCAAAGATCACATATAATTATTTTGTCAGGTTTATGCATGTCCTTTTCTGGAGACTGCAGAGTAGCTGAGCGAGACGGCTGACTCAGAAAAAGAGTGAGAATAAGAAAGAAAAAAGCTCTAACAAACTAATCCAAGCCTGGCGAATTTGCAATTATTATTATTTTTGCTGTAACAACAATTTTTGTGTCCTGGGTCCGAATCCCGGCCCAGGTTCTTTTTGCCTGGAGTTTGCAGGTTCTGCCTGTGCATGAGTGGGTTCTCTCCAGGTACCCACAGTCCAAAATCATGACTGTCTGTTGGATTGATCTCTCTAAATTCTCCTTAAGTATATGTGTGTGCATGTTTCATTGTTTGCCCTGTTTATCTCTGTTGCCCTTGTGATGGACTGGCAACTTATCCAGGGTGAACACCGCCTCTCGCCCGTTGACCACTGGAGGTAGCCACCAGCATCCCTGGTGACCCCACCATGGATAAGAGTCTTGGGCAATGGGTGGATGGACTGATGAACATTTTTCTTCCTCACACCCA